GCCCTTCTGCATGCAGACGTTACCTCTTACAGGGCCCCCAGGCTCCCCCAGGTGTACGTACACCAGAAAGATGTATTTCGAGCCTATCTGCTGCAGCAGCAGCAGCAGCTGCTGCTTCTGCTGCTGGGGGTGAGCCTGGGGCTGAAGGGGGGCCTTCGCAGCCAAGCCAAGCACGTGCTGAGGGTGGGGCTGCATGCGCTGCTGCTGCAGCAGCAGCACAGCAGCAGCAACGAGCAGAGAGAAAGAAGGGGGCCCCCCTGCCTCCAGCAGCGAGGAGTCGGGGGGTGAGGGGGCCCCAGCCGCTCCCCACCAGGGGGGCCCCCCCAAGGGGCCCTATGCCTATACACCCGAGAGGGGCCCCCCCAAGGGGGCCCCTGCCTATACACCCCAGAGGGCTCCACCCCTCAACAGCAGCAGCACATCTACCAGTTGTGCGTCTCCGTGCATGCAGCCCCAAAATAAACAGCAAAAATAAATTACATTTACACCCATCAGCATTTCCTACGATCTAGCGCATACAGAACAGGGTTTAGGGTTTAGGGTTTAGGGTTTAGGGTTTAGGGTTTAGGGTTTAGGGTTTGTGGCTGGGTGTTACCTTCAGGCCGCTCCCCCTGGCGGGTCGCCGACAGCTGAAAAGAAAACGCAGCAGCAGCGCAGCAGACTGAGCCGGGTGGCTCAGCAGCAGCAGCAGCAGCAGCAGCAACAGCAGCAGCAGCAGCAGCAGCAGCAGCAGCAGCCGCAGCATGTGAGGCAGCAGAAGCAACCGCAGCCACAGCAGCTGGCGACAATCAGAAGGGGACCGAGAGCCGCGCAGCAGCAACACCACCCACAGCAGCAGCAGCAGCAGCAGCAGCAACAGCAACAGCAGCAGCAGCAGAGAGGGTTGCTAGAGCAACAACGAGAAGCCCAGCAGCAGCCGCTGCAGCCGCTGCAGCAGCAGCAGCAGCAGCAGCAGCGGCTGCAGCAACAGCGACGGCAGCCGCCGCCACAGTTTCCCCCTCAGTTTAATTCGCATCCATATCAGCAGCAGCAGCAGCAGCAGCAACAGCAGCAGCAGCAGCAGCAGCAGCAGCAGCAGGGCTCGGCCCCTAGCGGAGGACTGTCTGACGAAATAGCAGATCTCGTTTTGTGGTTGAAAGAAACAAAACATCCGCTAGAAGGTAAACGCTGAGCTGCATGTACACCCCAAACAGCTGCATATACACCCCAAACAGCTGCATATACACCCCAAACAGCTGCACATACACCCCAAACAGCTGCATATACACCCCAAACAGCTGCATGTTCACTTCACATAGCTGCATGTACACCTCAAATAGCTGCATATACACCCCATATAGCTGCATGTACACCCCAAATAGCTGCATGTACACTCCAAACAGCTGCTCTATAGTTCGGGTGTATCCTGCATGCAGGCCCATGGCTGTACCCCTTGCGGCAGCTGCTGCTGCTGTTGCTGCTGTTGCTGTTGATGCTGCTGTCGCTACTGCAGTTGTTGTTGCTGCTGGTGCTGCTGCTGTTGTTGTTGCTGCTGTTGTTTCTGTTGTTGTTGTTGCTGCTGTTGTTGTTGCTGCTGTTTTTGTTGCTGCTGCTGCTGCTGTTGCTGCTGCTGCTGCTGAACTCCCCGCGAGGCAGTAGGGGGAGAAGGCTGACATATTGGGGTTTCCTCTTCAGGCTGGGCATCGATGGTTTAAGGTTTGAGAAAAAGGGTTTAGGGTTTAGGGTTTAGGGTTTAGGGTTTAGTGTGTGTTGTGGTTTCAGGCCGTGTTATAGCTAAAAGCAGCAGCTCCTTGCTGCTGCAGCTGCTGCTGCCAGCTGCAGCGCAGCATCTGCTGCCTCCGCGTGTCTCCGTTGCTCGGCATTTCTTCATAAGAGGAGACGCGCGGGGGGGAGAGGGTTTGGGGGCCCCCCAGGGGCCCCCAAGCAGAGCCAAGGGGGCCCCGCAGGGGCCCCCAAGCAAAGCCAAGGGGGCCCCCGAGGGGCCCCCCAACCCCCCTAGAGGAGACCCCGAGGCCCTTTGGAACAGCTTGCAGCCGGGCGACTCCCTTCGTGTTATAGTCTTAGGCGTGAAGCAGCAGCAGCAGCAGCAGCTGCTGCTGCTGCAGCAGCAGCAGCAGCAGCAGCAGCAGCAGCAGAGGCTGCGGCAGGGGTTCAGCAGGGGAGAACCCAACCAGCTGGAGCTGATCGTACAGCCGAAGATAGATGAACTGAGTGACCCCACAACTGTCTCCTCGGGTGTCTCCGCAGGTGTCTCCTCAGGTGTCTCCGCAGGTGTCTCCTCAGGTGTCTCCGCAGGTGTCTCCTCAGGTGTCTCCGCAGGTGGTGTAAGCCCCCTTTGTGCATTGTTTATGATGCTGCTGGAGAAAGAGAAAATAAAAACAACAGAAGAAGAAGTAATGGGGAGACTGTGAGCTCAGCATACACCGCAGAGGAGACAGAATAAAAAACAAAAAAAAAAGGAGACAAAAGAAAACACCAACACAAAACACAGAAAAATAACAAAAAAACAGAAAATATATAAACAGAAACAGAGACAAAAGAAAGGAGACAGTAGAGGAGACACAACAGAAACAGAGACAGAAAAAAGGAGACAGTAAAAGGAGACAGTAATAGATATATGATAGAGTAGAGAAGAGGAGACAGTAACATATAGAGACACCTAAACAGAGAAAACTAAGAAAACAATAAAACAATACAATAAACAACCATCTCTTTTATATTTCCTTATATAA